GGCCACGAGATGGTTAGAATCGATACTATCGGATCGATGTATTCCTCACTTAGGCCGGAGTTGAATGCAGTGCTCCCACCTCCCGGAACTAGTATCGAATTTCGGAATTTTTGGATTTTCCTGAATTTTTCCCGGAACTTTTGAAATTCCCGAAATATTCCGGATCTTTTGACTTTTCCGGAAATTTGGAAAAAATCTAAGAAGAATCTCGAAGCCTCACATCACTGCTCAGATACTTCAGCTCATGGTGTCTAGTTTTTTAAAAACCGGGGAAAACTGGGATTCATCAGGGAATGAAAATTTACCGGGAAAATCAGGGAATTTGTTCCAGAAACCGGGAATCTCTTCTCCAACCACCCAGGGATCATTTCGGAACACTCAGGAACATTTTTTGAGTTAAAATTTTGAATGTGCGCCAAAGAAATGGCTGAAAGATTAATTAAAATCGATATTCATATCTGAGACTCTGGAAAATAATATTCTTTTCCCCACGAATATCCCGGGAAAGTGGGAGAAAACTTCGGCTTCGCATCAGAGAATGAGCTCCTGAAAATCAGGGAAACTCAGGGAAAAATCAGGAAATGAGCTTTACCAAGATAACTAGACACCATGCTTCAGCTTCACTCCTCATTGAATGTGTCAACTGGAATAGTTAAAAACTAGTGAAACATAACAATAGGACTATCAAAAAAGTGATAACTAACTCGCACGAATGATTCATTATTGATGACAAATTACTCCAGCTTTCCTAACAATCAACTGATGTCCGATGCAGGGTGATTCACATCAGCCACTGGATGAGAGATGAGAGTTCTAATCATTTTTCAGTGTGCGAGATTTCCATGAACTAACAAGCTCTCGAAAATGAAAGTTCGAATCAAGGATGCTCGAAGGAATGCCTTCACACATCAGTCCTCATTGCTGATTTTGCAATGCACTGGGAGAAACAATGGATTTGATTGTAGCAGAAATATAGATCGTATTCGATAGCGGTTCGATGTACCGGTTGGCTCAAAACTCAATGAATGTTTTATTTTTTTATATTTGCAGTTTATTTGGCTTCCATTCCACTTAAGGAATCTACAGCCATCTATAGACAATAATTTAACATAGAGATTAATTTTTTATTGTCAGTAGACATCAGGGGAATTTTGGCACATCCATGCTTCGGCTTTCAAATGTTCAGGGATTGAGGCCGAGTAGAATCTGTTTCTGTTGATCCACTCGTCAGTGCCGTGAAAATTTGTCCCCACCACCGGGGTTCGAGCCCGGGACCTTTTGGTCTAGTCAGACGCGCTGACCGCTAGGCCAACCTGGCCGGCAACCCCAAATAAAACTTATATATTAAGTTGGGAAAGCTGAAACTAAGAAAATTCCCAACAATTTCATTCTTCACCGCTATTCGGTACTCGAAAGAATAAAAAGTCAATCACCGAAGACCCGTTCCCTCAAACTAAATTGGTTTTTGAGGCTATGTCTTCGTGTTGAACCTATCAATATCTATACAATCTCACCTGTTTGACTTATCGAACCCGATCTATTCTTGAATGTGCCATCGAAAAGATTCCTTTTTATTCAAGAAAGAAATCGCAAAGATTTCCTCCTAATGTGAGCCGCATCCATTTTCTGCGTAGATAAACATTTGTTTTTTCATTAGACTAACATGTTTCTTCCCGACTCCAAAGAAAATCTTCTGTATTTCTGCTTAAATAAAATCATGCAAACAAGCGAGTGGTACAGATCCAATTGTCTTCGTGTCGAAAATTATTCACTGCGCTAGCGAAGTGCAGACTTTTCACTATCCAACGCGCCACCCATCTCCCCCATGCCTTCTCTCTGTTGTAGGAGTATTATGTGTCGCCTAATGAATTAGCTCACCAGTTTTGGAAATTGAGCTATTAGATCGAAGCGTAGAACAAGATAATACAACCCGCAAACAGAAGATTGTAAAGTAATTAGCTAATTGTATTAATTGCCTCTGCTGTGAATTTTATTAACTCGCCAAGCCCCGTAACAACGGGTTTGTTCGCCGTTTTGAGCATGAATGAATCAATCCAAGTACCGCTCCTGGGTGGCAGTAAATGTATGCACATCGGATCATAATATATTTCCGCTTTCACAGATTGTCGCAATAGCTGACAAGCTGCCAATAGATTCACGAAATTTTAATCGCAGTCTTTCCGATGGGGTTACATGGATTATATTTCCTCATGGGACACTCTAATCGAAATTTTTAAACATTTTCGTCTTGTTTTCCCCGCAAAATAGTGTGGACCCAACCCTATTTTACCACCATGTTACATACAGTTCGGGCCCTGCTCCTTAGTTTCTTTCTTGTTCTGCAATTAGGAACTACTAGGTCTGGCTCAGTTTAGAAACAACGTATATACCATTATTTTCCCTATGCACATACCTGTTTTTAAGGATGAGCTAGAAACCCCCTGGTAAAAATTGGCGATAGGAGCTGCGTTTCAAAATACCACAGGAGTTCTTATAGCCGACTGAAGAAAGCGATAGAAAATCATATAGCTAGCTGTAGAAAGTGGAAAAAATCATACGGCCGGGCTACACGAAGCGATAAAAAATTAAACAGCCGGGCTAAAGTTCCTGTCGCCGGGCTTTACACTTTGTCGCCTGGCTGTTGCTTTTTCGCCATCGGCTATAAAAGGCTTTAAGAAATTGTGTAGAGATTCGTTTGCTTTGTAAATCCGCAAGTTTGTACGGAATCACCATAATATTTACAAAACGCACATTATATTTTCCTTTACTACATATTTGTTTTCATCAATTAAAATGAGAATTATCCATACAGAGAATGCAAACATTTCAAAGTCATGAGTTGAACAACGCTGACTCCACGAGATTAAATATTAGAGCCTAACACAAAGCGGAGCGGCGGCGCACTGGCGCCTACAAACCTAACAGGGATACTTCACGCATTGCGCAATGCGTGAAGTATCCCTGTTAGGTTTGTAGGCGCGTTTCGCGCTGGCTGCCCGCCCGCTGCGCTGCGCCGCAGCGTACCACGGCGCTTGAAGCAACTATTTCACACCAGAGGTATTGCACAGTATCGTACGAAATTGAAGACGCTCCAACATATTAGGAATGGCAGGCATCCTTCAAAAGTACGGAGCTTCCCTCGCAAAATAAATCAAGATACTACGGCCCAAAAAGAGAGCGGTAGTCCAAAAACTCACTAAGTCCTAGCATCCGTAATAAGTAACGGATAGCATACACTTTATCGTCAGGCTGTTACTTAATCGCCATCGGCTATAAAAGGCTATAAGAAATTGTGTTGCCGGCTATAGAAGGTATTGGAAATCTTACAGTCGGCTGTAGGTCTATGGTATTTTGGAACACAGATTCTACTGCCAATTTTTACCTGGGCCGTCGTTCCTAATTGAAGTTTAGTAAAAAAAATTCCATTTAAAAAATAAATTATGACAGGAAGTCTGCAGCTTCTCAAACCGACAAACGCGGTTTGGAACATTCGCCGTCAATATGATTCTTTCATAATTCCGTTTTCCGTTTTTGGGACGCATACACAAAGTTGTGTGAATCCGTGGAAGATCCATCGTGCGAGAGTGAACGCGGAATGCGCAAGAAATTCATGCTTGCTCTCCCGGGCGATTGCTACTCAAGTTCTTCGGTGACCAAACCGAAATTCAAAAGGTTTCAACAGCTCATCCTAGCTTGCTTGTTGGGCCAGTCTATCTCCACCGACGTCCATCAGTATTACCTCCTTATCCACTTGTTCAGATTGTACACAAAGGTAGACACAGCATGATTAGACAGAGATTTTTTTTTTTCAAAGCACGCGTGAAGCTGAGTGGATTTACAATCATGCACATTTCCCCCTCAAAATTTTGACATTTTTTTCTTCCCCCAGAAAAATCGAGATTTTATTTTCTTTGAGCATATTCGTCCTCGGTTGAAAATACTTTATGAAAAAATCAGTGCTCCCATTTCATGAGTCAAAAGTTCCGGAATTTGGAAGTTTTCTGTTCCGATCTCTCCCATTCCATTGCCGTAAAAAGTTCCGGGATACTGTATAGGTTTTTCAAAAATTCCGGGATTCTACATAGGTTTTTCAAAAGTTCCGGGATTCTACATGGGTTTTTCAAAAGTTCCGGGATTCTACATAGGTTTTTCAAAAGTTCTGGGATTCTGCATAGGTTTTTCAAAATTTCCGGGATTCTTCATAGGTTTTTCAAAAATTCCGGGATTCTACATAGGTTTTTCAAAAGTTCCGGGATTCTACATAGGTTTTTCAAAAGTTCCGGGATTCTACATAGGTTTTTCAAAAGTTCCGAGAAAGTTCCAAAAAATGCGGAAAATTTTGAGAATTCCAAAAGTTACGGGAAAAAATCAGGAAAATCCCCAAAGTTCCGAAATTCGGAACTAGTTCCAGGAAATGGGAGCACTGGAAAAAACTAAACGTTAATTTTGTGTCGCAATATCCGAGTGTGAAGTGAAATGGGATATTCGGGTTGCCACAGTCAGGGAATGCCGGGAAATGTCACGGAATTTTACAAAGTCAGGGATAACCCGGAAATGTCAGGGGAAAATGTTTAAGTCTTCTTTATTTGCTTTCTAGAACGAGTTTGACGTTTCAAAGAAAAATTTTACCTGAAAACTATTTCTAATTGCGTATTTTTAACCATCTGGCATATCTTCAAATGACAGGGACACAAGGGATTTCATTTTCAAAATTCTGTGCAATGGCGTGGCGTGTATTGCGATGTATTGATTGTTATGCCATTCAAACCCATGGAAAAGAATCGATTATTAAAATGTTCGCTGCGAACATTCTGTTTATAGATCCTTTTCCATAGTTTTAAATGGCATAACAATCGATATATCGCAATCCACGCCACGCCACTGATTCTGTGGCAACTTTGGGTGTTCCTCAAGATGGCAACAATTCTACCTATCTCTTTATCCGCGGTTTTTTTCCTACATTGAAATAAATCTCCATAATTTCGGTATTTTTTTTCCAGGAAAAATTAACGCTAACCACAGGCCATGGAGCACCAGTTGACTCGAAATCAGCATCTCTCACAGCTGGGCCCGATGGACCGATTCTCCTGCAAGATATCACCTTAATCGATGAGCTGACACACTTTGATCGGGAGCGAATCCCCGAACGAGTAGTCCATGCAAAAGGAGCCGGTAAGCATAATTAACTCTGTCGCAAACTCAAAATTCCCTAATTGAAATCGTTGGAAAGTTGGCAGGTTTGAAAACGCCTTCAATTGTGGCGTGATACCTCACGCATCCCGAAGAGTACGAATAGTTGTATCGTTGCGCCTTAGCAATGCGATGGAAGATTAATATTGAAGTAGCCTCCACGCTCGCCTTGTCGGTTTTTCTCTGTCGCTATAGCAGTTTTGACCGCATTGTTTAAGCGTGCTCAAGCTAGGATTGTAATCAGTAAATGGATAATTCTTATAGAATAATTAAAAACCAACAAGCCGTAAGAAACATGATTAATTAATAGGAACTCAAATCAACAGTCAACTTAAAGGCATCGAAAAAGGGCTGAATTTTTTCTGCTTATAAAATACTGATTTTTTTGGAAAGGTACGGGAAAAGTACTTAATTTTTGCCAACCAGTTTTAGTAGACATAACCTTACATAACGGCCTCGGGGCCTGAAAGGGCAGCAAACCTTCCCACACGAAATATTCAGAACTAGGTCGTTGCAAACCTGAACATACGAAGGGAGGCAGGCCGGCCAGATTTGCAAGGATCAGAAACGAAATTTTGTTGTTTTAAAGTTTGACCTAGAACATAAGCTAAGAAAACCTTATAAGTCATAGCCGAGTGAATGCTGAAGAAATAAGACAAATGCGCATTCAGACGATTCATGATTTATACAAAAACGTAAATTTACAGGTAATAGCAATGGATGATTTGACACCCAAATTTGCTGCACTTTTGGGCCCTAGCTTTAGTGGCAGAAATATCGCTGAATAAGGCGTGGTGGATTTTCGGAATTACAGATCAGTCCATATGTACTCCTGGTCTAAATTTAACTATTGAACAGGGGCCAGGAAATACCCCAAAAATTTGGAAGAAGGGAAAGTTTTACGGATCAAAAGTCGAAAGTCAAAATAGTAGAGAGGGAAAATTTAATCACCTTGAAATTTGGTGGAAGATTTTTTGAAAAGTCGACGGATGGGCGCGTGAAAGTGTGGAAACTTGGGAGATTCTACACCTCTGGTCTGATTTAAAAAATTTTTCTTTTCCTAAATTACTCTCTCCGGCGTATTAATGTTGCCTCCCTGTTTGAAGGATGGATAGTGCCACCCACACGTATTTGATATTTTCAAAACAATATTCATTAGCTCAATTTCTTTTTTCAGGTGCCTTTGGTTACTTTGAAGTAACGCATGATATCACGAAGTACACAAAAGCTAAAGTGTTCTCAGAAATTGGGAAAACAACACCAATTGCACTGCGTTTTTCAACAGTTGGCGGTGAAAGCGGATCTGCAGATACAGTCAGGTAGCTAATAGTATTTTTTGATGAAGGGTTTTACAAAGACGCGTCTATACTCTCAGTTTATTTTTTTGCGATTTTCGTTCCTTTTGACCGATATAGATATTACCAAAAATCAGAATGAAGCCATTAATAAGGAAGAAATATAGCAAAAAAGTCAATTGAGGCACTGGATGCGAAAAGGGCACCTCTCGATCGCAATGTTTCAGAATCTCTGTTGCTAATCAATCCCTTGAAGAAGAATTTAATGAATGATTTTTACAGAATTCTCTCCATAGAAAATTGTAAAATCATGAGGAATAAACAGTAAAATTCCTGGTGAAATGGATGCATTCACTTTCCTTACAACAAATGAAATATTAGAGGATACTCTGAAACACTGCAACCGAGAAGTGCCCTTTTTGCATCCAGTGCATCAATTTTTCAATTAACTCTGGGGAATACAAATAAAATGAAAATCCAATGTACCTAAGAATGTACGCTTTTGTTGATCCAGACGGAATCAGTATTTCCCATTAATGTCCAAAGTACCACAATTTTTAAATAAAAAAAATATTGAATTTTGGTCGTGAGTAATTAACATAGCATCATCGCTGTTGAGAAAATTTGTAATAATATTTTTCGTGCCAAGGACCAATAGCAAATTGCATTTATGTCAAATTTTCCAGTCTAAAATCAAGCTTTTTTCATCGATTTATAGATCTTTTACCTGCACACACTCTTATAAAAATTGCTGTTTTTACAGAGATCCACGTGGTTTTGCTGTCAAGTTTTACACGGAAGAAGGAGTTTGGGACTTAGTTGGGAACAATACGCCCATATTCTTTGTCAGAGATCCTCTTCTATTTCCCAGTTTCATTCACACTCAAAAGAGGAACCCTGCTACCCACTTGAAGGTATGGTTTTGTGCACAATAGCAATGTTTTTACCGCAATTTTGAGATTGATTACCTGACACAGCAACCCAGCTAAATAGTGCTCGAACGAAAAAACTGTAAAAATTAATGTACAAAAAGACTTTGCTCCAAAATTTTGTTTTGATGTCACTGATTTTTTTACTTTCCTTCATCCATTTTATAGTAGCTAAAATGCAGACCTGAGATTGGAATTCCTCTACTGAAGTGTAAAGAAAAAACGCTGTATGAACATTCTAGAGTTGCCAAATTCCCTCTGATAAAATGTTTATTTCTGAAGAGACTCATGCTTATTGTCTCCTGAAAATTTCTGATAGTTGATCTGACTGCGAATAAAATTTTCTACAAAAAATTGAAGAAATTCACTCACTAGTTTTCCTGAAAATTCGTATTTAATCAAAGGAAATTTGTCAAAATCTAAAGGATCATGTGATGTTCTTCCTTAGCACAGTAGTCCAGTTTTGTAACGCTAAATAGAATCTCTCTGTCTTTTTACTGTTTTTTTTTTACAAAACAACAAATCTCTCCCTAAAAGTTATCCCCTTTTTACTCTGAAGTTTGTTACATAATCAATGAACTTACCTGATGATCCAAAATGAATTCTGTTTAATTTTCCTCGTGCAGTAAGTAGATGTCCAAGGAAAATTACAGCACGTGTTGAAATTTTACAAAATGTATGAGGTGCGTTATGTAATGTTTATTGCCTCTCATCACTGTGATTATGCAGCATATGAAGAAAACACATCCGATTCATTACCAGCTTGAAATAATTTTCTTCCTTTATCCTCTGTCACCTTGTCAACAAGTGTTGCACAAGTATCCGCCACGAGGACCCAATCATACATTACATCATATGCCTGACATGCCTCATCATAAGGGTGAGAGGAATAAGAGAAGGGGAATTAGGAGTCAGAAACTTTGAAACATGGCCACCCCTAATCTCTTGACGGCCCTTTAGGTATTATTGTTTTTAAACCTTACCTCTTAATAAGTTTGATTACCTGAACCAGAATTTTTTTTTTTGTTTTGCCAAGGCATTCATTTTCTTTTCCACTGGTAGTATTGTCTCTTTGCTTTTCTTAACGTTGATTTTTTTCTTGTCACACAAAGGATGCAAACATGGTGTTTGATTTTATTACCTTAAGACCAGAGACAACTCATCAAGTCATGTTCCTATATTCCGACCGAGGCATTCCAGATGGTTACCGCCACATGAATGGCTACGGCTCACACACATTCAAGTTGGTCAACGATAAAGATGAAGCTGTCTACTGTAAATTCCACTGCAAGGTAATTGAATTGCCAGATTGAAAAATCATATTCATGATGATCAGTTTTACTGAAGTGAATAATATAGAATCTTACAGAATCATGTCCATTTTTTAGCATTGAGTAAGTGAGACTGCATTTTTATAGCTTGATCAAGGAACTTACAAATGGTTAGATACTAAATCAAGTTTTAAATATTATTTAAACAATTCACTAAAATTTTGAAAATTCAATGAATTCTGAAATTTGCCATATTGTACCACTAAGTTTTTTTGCTATTTTAGATTTTGCATTTTGTTTTAATAACAAAATTTAGAATTTCAACAACTTAAGGAATAAATAATCAAATCTTCTTTCGAAGATTTATCATTAAAAATGTGCCATTTTCCTATCAATCGACGCAGATCAATGGAGCCATTCTTTGCAGCATCATTTTCGATCAACATAATTTTTTAAGATATTTTTTGACTTTTAATTATTGTCTCATAGGCCTTGGTATTTTACTGATGCTAGGAAACTCACCTTTTGACATCACATCTAATATTTTTAAACTAATTTTATTTCAGACGGATCAAAAAATAAAAAACCTTCCAGTTGAGAAAGCTGCACAACTTGCATCAAGTGACCCTGACTACTCTATCCGAGACTTATACAATGCCATTGCTACAAAAGACTTTCCCTCTTGGACCATGTACATTCAAGTCATGACATTCCAGCAAGCCAAGAGTTACAGATGGAACCCATTCGACCTCACAAAAGTAATTTATTTTTCTTCCTACACAATGATCCATTTTTTTTTAACTTTAATTAGATTTCACCCACTTACAAAAAGAATCAAGAATTTTACAGTTCAAGATGACAAATAAATTACAATTGGATAGCAACTGGGCCCAGGAGGGTTCCAGTCTTTTTGTTATCATTGTTTGTTTAAAGTTGCGTTTCTGCTATTCAAAAGTGATGCTTCAGTCTTGCAATTCTAATATGAACGATTTGACTGAATAGCACCGGAGCTTCTAAATTTTTTATGTTTTACTATGTTCCTGTGGATAAAAAGCTTACTTAAAACCAGTTTGAGGGAGCTTGAATCACAGCCCAAGAAATAAAATAATCCCTCTTCAATGTGATTGTCTTGCCTAAGAGTTATAAAATTCTATTGTTTGACACTCTGAGTGGAAAGCAAATAAATATCAATTTCTCCGAGTGTCTTGTGGAGCTGTCCGTTTCGGGTTTCTGACTGTCTAGAAAACCTCAGGCTCAGCAACCTCAATGGCGCCATTTAAAAGTGTGCAAACAACTTTTGAGAGCTTGTTCCTATACTTTTAATCTGTAAAAGTGGAAATTTTGTCCAAAGATTAGCACAAGTCAGCCTGCTATGTCGACTTGGTGACAAAATGATACCCTAAAACTTGTATTTCTTTTTCAAAACGCTACTTTTGCCCTCCCTCAGTTAGGGTTTAGTTAAAACAATTTCGAAAACTGCTGTTTGTACGCCTTCAATGCTCACTGATGTATTAGGTCGAATATCTTCTCGGTAAACATCATAATATGTGAGGTTTGTTTTAGGTTTGGCCACATTCCGATTTCCCACTGATCCCTGTTGGCAAATTGGTACTGAACCGTAATCCTGAGAACTACTTTGCAGACGTAGAGCAGGCTGCGTTCAGCCCCTCTCATTTGGTCCCAGGAATTGAACCAAGTCCAGACAAAATGCTTCAAGTAAGTTTTCCTCAAAATTTAAAAATGATTTATTGGAAAGTTGTTTCTCAACAGCTCAATAGCGATTAATCTATAAAAAGAAGAAAGTTTTCAGGATATGTAAGAACCTCTTCCAGGTCTAGAAAGTCCTTGAAGTGCTGGTCTAAAACGGCATTTTGAATATTCTTAAATTTATAAAATTGGCAAGGTATCTTAACCATGGTGCCTTTTTTTTGTTTTTCTTTTTTTTTTTGCGCACAAAAAATGCAGCTCAATTGAGTGAAAGCCTTTAAAACTGCGGAAATCAAAGCAGTTTTCAGCAAAAATTTCACATTTCAGCTCAATAGAAGGTGTTAATAGTGGATTCAGTCTCCTCAATTTTAGCTCCGATGTTGGAAAAAACTAATGGAATTTTAAAGTTAAAAAATAACGTCAACTCAGATGTCCATTATAAAACTAGAAAGTCGGTATTTTCTTCATTTTGGTCAAGGATATCTTTTTCCTAAATTCCATTGATACTGTGAAAATATTATTTGAATCATTACTCCTAATCTATTGGATTTTTTTTCTCCTGTAGGCTCGACTTTTCTCCTACGCAGACACTCACCGTCATAGGCTAGGGGCCAACTACTTACAGTTACCAATCAACTGCCCGTATCGCAGCCGAATTTCAAATCAACAAAGAGATGGACCTCAGACATACTACAACGAAGGTGGTGCACCAAACTACTACCCTAACAGCTTCAGTGGGCCTGAACCAAGTGGCCATGCTGCCCTCTCCAAATACTCTGTCTCTGGCGATGTTCAAAGGTGAGCTTTTCGGTCTCGGTGTTACCACACAATATTTTTTTGTAATTATTTCTTTGAGAAGGGTCATTTTCACAGAAGAATTAAGTACATTAACCCAGGAATTGGAATAAAAAGTATAGAAAAATAATTGTTTTGAAAGTTTTCAATATTTTTTGTGAAATTAGTAAACGATGTATCCTGATCGCAGGGATGCAAAATTTCTGTGTTGGGTTTTTCAAAAGAATAGTTTTTACATAGTTGTGCATGTATTTTAAATTGAATTATTTTTTTTGTAAATTATTTCTTGGTAATTTTTACACTGTCTTACGTCTTGCCCTAGGTATGAAACTGGAAATGAAGACAATTTCTCTCAAGCAACATTATTCTGGGAAAAGACTCTGAACGAAGAAGAAAGATGCAGGCTTGTAGCCAATCTTGCCGGACATCTGAAAGAAGCAGCCGAGTTTATTCAGGTACTTACAATCTTTTTTTTTATTGACCAATTTTGTATTCATTTTCATTCATTCATTCATTCATTCATTCATGTCCTTTCTTTATCATTCTTCAGAGCTATTCTAAAATTTGAAAGGTGACATAGCATTACCCACAGCAAACAATTTGTCTTTCCCTAAGTCATATTGTCTCATGATTGCTTGAATTTTAAGTCAAAGTTAGATTGCCTAGTGGTAGGATTCAATGCAGTAATGAGGCTGCTACCCGATTCAGGTAGTGCTTGAAACAAGGTGTTACAGCAGTAAATTTTAGGTTATTGTCGTTAGAAACATTAAACTTTCCCCAACTCTAGATTCTCTCACCCTCTGGTTACAAATTATGAAATTTCTAATATCGAATAATTTTTGAAGAAAACAAAGAATCTTTTTATTAATTTTTATAAGTTATCTATTTGACATTTCGGTGTATAAAAAATTACAAACAAATTTCATAAATGGTAATTTCAATTTTGCTTTTATTTTCTATGCATCTCAGCCACTGACAACAATTTTTGTCCTCCCTTTTTTCCAGGAGCGAGCAGTCAAAAACTTTACCCAAGTACACCCAGACTTTGGTGAACAACTAGCCAAAGCATTGAAAATCACTGTCACTCAAAAGTCCAGCCTCTAACTTCATCCTTCAACCTACATAATTATTTTTTAAAATTCTGAAAGGTCCACTTGGAATCGTGCAAGTTATCTTTTTATGGCATTTCGTGCCATCAAGCAATTTTAAAATGTGTTTTGTATTTTTCTATCAACTACTTAATGTTTATTCATATGCATCAGCTGCACAGTTCTTATAATCACGTTTCCCAGCAGTAGTCAGAATTGTGGTTCGTGGTGCAACGGTGATTTGTAGTGCATGATTGATTTTTTTAAGACCATCCCAGTTCTTTCTCATGTTTTTATACTTCTATTTTTATTTTTGGTAAGTGTTGTTTTTACCTGTAAGTTAAACTCATCAAAATAAATGTATTGTTAATTTTTATGCTGCTTTCCTCATTTTTTAAAATGCTCCCCCTGTTAAATAGGTATGAACTCTGATATCATATTCAATTATGGCATCAGATTTTTGTTTCTGGTTATTTATTTTTTTCTTGTTGTATCACGACTGGAAATTTTTATGGAATACTCCTTCCATCAAGGAGAAAACTCACAGCAATTTCCTACAGTTGATGTCAATACTCCATAAAAATACGAATTATGATGAAAGTCGCCAATAATGCCAATGAAGATAAGAAATAATCCAAATGTTTAATGTAAGGTACGGTGGGGCTATTTCTTTTAACTTATACAAAGCCACGAATGCATAGTCTTGAACTATGCTATAGGCCGCTTATGAACAGCTGTTAAGCTTGATGAACAATTTAATGCATGTACCAGGGGTCTGTGGCCGTTACGCAGCCGTCAATCGCTGAAAAAAACTACACGCAAAAAATCGTAGAACAATCGTGTTTAAGTTATTTCATAGATGAATAGATTCAAAAGCCGACGGGTGCACGCGAAAGAAAGCGTATTTATCTCTGATTGTAACGTTATGCACCACTTTCTCTGACTCAGTTTTGAACACCGTTTTTAAAAAACTACACACGCAGTTTTTCTAAAGAGTTCCCAAGGATTTTTTTTTTTTTTTTTTTTTTTTTTTGAAAAAAAAGCAACACACAGTTTTTTATGAGTTCCGAAATTTCTGGAAAAAACGGATTTAAAATAAAATCACAAAAAAATTCGACTCGATATTCTTGTTTGTTCTGTTTTATTTCTATTAGACCAAAATTAATTTATGCGATTCAAGTTTCAGAATAGCTGCATCGTTTAAATATCTTCCGAGTATCTGAATCGTTGCAATTAAGATGCATGTTTACCCTTTAATTGGGGTGAAAACCGGGAAGGAACCGTCGAAAGAAATGACGCGTGGACCTAGTTTTGCGGCGAGTTTAGCGTCGCGCAAGCCATGGAAGGAAGTGCGATCGAGTGTCGAGTTGTCGAGTCATCTTCACAATGTGATGCGCCTTCAATCCAGCTAGCGACGATGTGCCTGTACCTGCAGTCGAACAGTCATCGCGAATAACTCTCGCATGCGTTTGGTGCAGTGCGAGAAGTATTCATGCAGTCTATTAGGCGCTAACATGCGCTTGACGCCGACCGCACTGTTTGGCGCAATGCATGAAGTATTCCTGCAATCTTGCAGGCGCTAATATGAGTTTGACGCCGACCGCACCGTGTTTGGCGCGCGATTATTCGAACTCGCGTTAGGATAATCACGGCATCGGACAATTGGGTTTTAAAGGCCCATGTTATGTTTCGACGCCGTATGTGCACTGCAACGATGCCTCGTTTCTCCCGATAAAATATTTTCTCTGAGAAAAGTAAAGAAAGTTCTATAATCGCTTTTTTAGATGGAATGGACAATTAAACAAGGTACAAATTTAAGCACTCTGATACATGATTCTTCACGAGAATTTCACGTAGAATACGATTCGCTCCACGAAAACTACTGAAATTAACTTCAACCGCAGATACAAAAATATCACTTTGAACATCGCTGAACAACTGATAACGAAAAACTAATGTTAAATTCGGTTTTCTCCTGCCACGAAACCCTCGAGTACTTTGGATTGTTTCTCATGGAAGGAAGTATGCGTAGGAAGTCAAAACGCCTTCGATTTTTTGAACGCAATACGGACATCCGTCGAGGTGGTATAGTTGTATCAAGGCGCCGTAGCGAACGCGTCCCATTGTTGATCGTTACAGACGAATATAAGTTGAGAGAGGCCAGTCATAATGCCTTCAATTTTATTCATACATATTTTTGGGCAAAATGAGAGACGACGTTTCTCCATTTGCGACGTTGCAGACTTCCTTGGAAATTTTATTTTTCTTTCGAGAAGCTGGTCAAAATAAAACTTAAATTCTCCATGATTTTTCGTACTCGATAGCAGAAGATTTGGTTCAAAATTTAGAGTCGTAAATTTGGATTGTTTCTCATGGAAGAGAAAGAGATGAATTAAGAACGGAAATTTTGAAACACCGCAATGGAGATACGTGGTTTCGCACTTCAGTCGGTGCGATACGGACATCCATCAAGGGTAAAAAGTTGCATCAAGTCCCCGTCACCGCCGACCAACGCGTTTGTCGATCGAATCAACTACAGGTAGTACGGTATGCGTAGAAAGTCAAAACGCCTTCAATTTTTTGGACGCAATACGGACATCCGTCGAGGTGGTATAGTTGTATCAAGGCGCTGTAGCGAACGCGTCCCACTGTTTATCGTTACAGACGAATATAAGTTGAGAGAGGCCACTCAAAATGCCTTCAATTTTATTCATACATATTTTTGGGCAAAATGAGAGACGACGTTTCACCATTTGCGACGTTGCAGACTTCCTTAGAAATTTTATTTTCCTTTCGAGAAGCTGGTCAACATAAAACTTAAATTCTCCTTGATTTTTCGAATTCGATAGCAGAAGATTTGGTTCAAAATTTAAAGTCGTAAACCACGCAAATCAACCGGTAATACAAATAGTGATTTGAATGTGCCTTTTTTAAATTTTTACCGGCCGTCATTTTGTCAAAGATAAGAATGACGACCTGAAAAATATCTTTTTATATCGTCTTTTGATTGAGATGTCACCACCGAGGATTGCTATTTTATCAAAATGCAAATCCGCAGCCCCCCCCCCCCCCTGTGTAGGCCCCAAGAGTAGCTTACATTGATCCTTGCACGTCTCCGAAGTTTCGTTTCAAAATATGCATTAGGCACCATTTTAGAAAGGGTGGATGGGAATTTTGGGACACCCTACATATTTTCAGAGACTTAAACGCTGGTAGAAGTAAGAAAAAAGTCGACTTAGACCGGCCAGATGTGCACATACGGGAATTATCGCCTTGTCTCGTTTACGTCCAATTTTGACTAAATACGTGGGGGTCGGTTTTTCATAGACATTAGAGTCAGAGACAAAATATACGAGTATATTCTTGGAGACTTGAACGCAGAGTAAGGAAAGTAGTCAGACGGGAGTTATCACCTCGTGTGCTCTTCAGACGAGACGCGTTGGAATCAGTGGCGAGGCGTGCTTGATCAATTATCGATATTTCCCCATTTGAAGCCGAGGTAAAGAATCGATTAATCAGGTGTTCGTTGCGAACACCCTGTTTATTGGTCCCTTTCAATAGGTTTCAATATGGCAGATCAATCGATATATCGCAAACCTCGTCACGCCACACAGTGGATCGAATCAATTGGAGAGGTCGGACAAAATTTGGAAACTTTAAACGCTTATAACTCCGTCTATACAAAACTAAGGTTCTAAAATTGGGTCTCTTGGTTTCCTCGTGACATCATTCAAAAGCACCCCTTTTAAAATGTGGCGAAATGAACATCAAAATTTGCAGTTTTAGTAAAAAATTTCATGTCTGATCTCTCTAGTTGACTCGATCCACCGTGCGCCACTGGTTGGAATCGGTTTTTTTGTGGGGATCAGAGTCAGAGACAACGTATCGATGGTTCGATCTCCGTATCTCCGTTTGCGAAGTACTAGACCTCCCGTCGTACTCAGTGGCGTGGCGTGCTTTGCGATTTATTGATTGTTCTGTCATTTAAACCTATGGAAAAGGATCGATAGACAGGGTGTTCGCAGCGAACACCTTAATAATAGATTCTTTACCATAGCTTCAAATGGCGAGATATCGCATCGATAATCGATCATTCACACCACGCCGCGCCACTGGTCGTACTTCGTTTTTTCCTCGGGAAACTAGTCAACATAACGTCTTGAAAACGTTCTTGATTTTTCTTCTAGGTACCTAAGCAGAATATTCCAGCTTCTGCTTCAGTTCCAAGCTATAGCATTGACTTGGCAAAAAGTAAAACAGGAACGAAATTTTTTTAACACCGCAATGAGATAAGCGGTTTCGCACTTCAGCAACCAACATGTATGTATTACTGGAGACTTATACGTACGAGTAAAGTAAGAACAGTATACTGCCGTGCTAAGGAAAAACGCCGTATGAACCTTCAGGCGTTGCCAAATCGCCTTTGATGAAACACGGATTTCCTGGTAAACTTGTGAATATTTTTCTTCCAATTTTTCAGATAATTTTGTTCGCAATTTCACCTAAAGTCTCTGAAAATTTCAAGGAAAAATTTTCATAGCTTTCCTCAAAAATAAACGTTTTATTGAAGGAAATCTGGCAACTGTCGAATGTTCATACGGCGTTCTTCCTTAGCAAGGCAGTATAGTCGACGCGGTCGGACAGGAGTCATCACCTCGTGGACATCATACAGGGTTGCCACAGTCAGGGAATACTGGGAAAACCGGGAAAAGTCAATGAAAAATTGTTAAGCCCCCTTAACTTGCTTTCTCGAGTGGGTTTGACGTTGTCAACAATAAATTTTGCATGAAAACTATTTCTAGCTGACTTTTCAACAATCTGGCATCTGCTCAGTTGTCAGGAGAATTCGCCAAAATGAGTCAGGGGATTTAATTTTCTAAATTCTGTGGCAACCCTGTACACAGAGAGAAATTTCAACCCGAAAGTTTGGTTAATACGGGAAGTAAAACACAAAATAACCCCAGCCTTCGATTGACAATGTCAAGAGAAAATGCCAGCTGGTTTCCTTGAAAAAAATTAATAAAAAACGAGTGGTGACTACCATCGTATTTTCCCTGTCTCTCTATTGTTTTCTGCGCTCAATTTACCGCAAGCTGTACCAAAATCAACACAAAATTTGTGTTAATTTGTGTTTCGCACTTCCCACATTAACAAAAATTAACACAAAGAACACAAATATTTTTATCAGTGTAGACGAGACGGTGGCGTTAAGTCCAAGACGTGATGGAATTAGTTTTTCAAGAGATAATGAGAAAAGAAACAAAGCGGGGGAAGAAGGAAAGGGACAAAAATAGATATTCAAAACAACACAAAAAAATATAATAATTTATTTAATAATTAAACGCAAAAGAGATTGAACAAAAATTCTATGTTCATATTTGACGCCAACATATCGTTCAAATTCAAGGCTGCAGAACTGCTCATTCCTCTTAGTTTTACCCAATCTCTGTGAAGATTTTGTAGAATTCCTGCAATGGAACGGAGAATATCGAGATTAGCGGGGAAAATGAATTATTTTCCTAAAGACAAAAAGTGAGCCAAGCAGACATCAACCAAAAAAGACAATTTTAAAAGTTAGCATCCACATGGTAGAAATATGAATCACTTTCAGACAGTGGCTATGCTTGAAAGTTGGCATAAATATTTTTCCTGCATTTAAATGTATGCAAAACAAATCGATGGTGTACAGGGTGTGTAGTTTTTTTTTTTTATTTTGGGAAATACTGATGAAATCCTGATTTTTCCTGATTTTTGACCGCTAAATCCTGATTTCATATTTTCTCCAAATCCTGATCAATCCTGACTTTTAGCGGAGAAAAATTAACGGACGGATAGCGGATAATTAACGGAAAATAAGCAGACGGCCGACTTTTCTCAAATCCTGATGAAATCGTGATTAAATCCTGATAGACCTCAAATCCTGATAGAATCGGGAAAATCCTGATCTTAGACACTCTGTGTAAGTCCGCAACCACATATCTCGTTTGCGGTGTTTGAAAATCTTCGCTCTTATTTTCCTTTTTTAAAGGAGAACGAAGCGACATCGTTCCTTGCAGTTTTAACAGAATTTTCTTCGTTCAGGGAAGAAAAATCACGGCATTTTTTAGGAATTGCCAATGAGTGGTTTTCCATTTAAAAAATGGAGAATGACAAGACATCTGCCACGTTGCAAACCGAGATACGTGGCTGTAGACTTACACCGTCGATTGTTCTCTTTAAAAAAAACGACAAAGTAGAAATGAAGACACCTACCGGTCAATTTTGGTAGAAGATCAGGATTCTTGTTGATTTTCTCGGTGATTTCTTTTTGATTATTAACGATGGCTCTATACTTTTTTGTCAAACACTCGGGTGTAAATTCAGGACCTCCAGCCTCCATGTCTTTGAGTGCCGCCAGCAACTCCTTTTGCTTGGTTAAGGAGGCTGTCTCCTCTAGCAGCGGAAAAATCAGTCTCAAAGTTTCCCTCATACAGTTCTCCATGACGGCTGTAATATTCAAATCATGTTAACCACGCTATTTAACAGTTCTTGAGGTGTTTGTGAGAGAATATTGTACAGTTTTTCAATATGTTTGTATAATCACTCAATTTACTTAGGGGGTGCGCCTCCTGAGGGGGTGACCACTTCGCTGTCCAACCCTTCCAAAGCCCCCCCCCCCCCC